AATTTAATTTGTGGTAAATCTTACGTTGTTTTCTCTTCTAAAATTTCTATGTTAATAAATTTTTATCTATTTTAGTATTTCTTCTTTGGTAAGTGATGTCGTCCTCTCAAATCCGCAATTTTCATTGCGTTTTGTATTTTTTGAAATTCTTGTATGAAATAAAGAAAGATTTTGCTCCCTCTCCCACTATATTTTATGTTAATAAAATTTTGTCTGTTTCAGATTTTTATTACAAGTAAGTAGTGAAATAATTTATATTTGTCTTAATAACTTTTGTCTGTTTCAGAATTTAATTTTTGGTAAGTTCTTACATTGTTCTCTCTTCTCAAATTTCTGTGTTAATAAATTTTTGTCTGTTTTAGCATTCAATTTTTGGTAAGTCATGTTGAGTGCATTAGATTTTTAATTCCGAGCTTGTGGGAGGAAGGGTGGGCTCGGGCGCAGGTTTTTCGTCACAAATTGTGACGAAAAGCCTGCGCACTTTGTAAGTACCTCTTATTCTGATTTGCACTCATCTTTGTCACAATTTTTTAATTTATATATTATACTGTAGTAATAGTTTGTCATTTTTTCTCAATTTCCCCAAATTTAAAAGAAAGTTCTTCCAACTTTCTTTCATATCCCCTTGCTCTTTTTTAAAGTTTTATATACGAGTGCAATTTTAGAATAAGAGGTACATGTAGGGCATTTAAAATGTATTATAGTGTGTGTGAGTGCGTGAATGGTGTGTGTCCTGCATCCTGTACTCACTCGTAGGGCCCCTAATTTTCTATCTGATTTTATTTCTAGCTTCGAAATTTTTAAGCTTCCTCTCTATTTTATTTCTTTTCTAGTCTTACTTTATTAATTGATTGATTTTTAATGCTTTAGTTTCTCTTTCATCGGATCTCCTCGGCATCTCATTTTGGTTTTGAGGTTTTTAATCTCCTCGGGTTCTTATTTCGGATTCAAGATTTTCAAACAGCGTGATTTTGTTTCGAGTCTTGAAGTTTCTGAATCTCTTCGTTTTTTTATTTCGGAGTTGAGGTTTTCAAAATCTACGATTTCGATTTTTGAAGAGTTTCGTTTCGAATAAAGGGAGATTTCATCCCTTGATCCTTCGATTTTCTGTATTAATTACTTTTGTCTGTTTCAGGCTTTGATTTCAAGTAAGTAAGTGAATTATTTATATGTATCTAATTACTTTTTGTCTGTTTCAGATTTTTATTTCAAGTAAGTAATTTATTGACTTATGTTTGTCTAATTAATTGTTGTCTGTTTCAGATTTTGATTAAAAGTAAGTAATTTATTGACTTATGTTTGTCTAATTAATTGTTGTCTGTTTCAGATTTTGATTAAAAGTAAGTAATTTATTGACTTATGTTTGTCTAATTAATTGTTGTCTGTTTCAGATTTTGATTAAAAGTAAGTAATTTATTGACTTATGTTTGTCTAATTAATTGTTGTCTGTTTCAGATTTTGATTAAAAGTAAGTAAATTTTATGTAAGTAATTTTTAATGATTTATATTTGTCGTAATTATTTTTGTCTGTTTCAGGTTTTAATTTCATGTAAGTAATTTTTAATGTTACAAATTTTATCTCAATAATTTTTGTATGTTTCAGGTTTTAATTTCAAGTAAGTAATTTTTAATGTTTCATATTTGTCTTAATTATTTTTGTTTGTTTCAGGTTTTTATTTTAATAATTCATGTTTGTCTTAATTTCATTCAGATGTTTCAGGTTTGTATTTTACAATAATTTTTGTATGTTTCAGGTTTTAATTTTATGTAAGCAATTTTTAATATTTCATATTTGTCTTAATTATTTTTGTTTGTTTCAGGTTTTTATTTTAATAATTCATGTTTGTCTTAATTTCATTCAGATGTTTCAGGTTTGTATTTTACTTGGGTAATGAAATGTTTCATATGTATCTTAATTACATATTTATGTCACAGCTTTTGATTTTATGTAATTGAATATTTCCCAAGTATATTGTAATTTTATTTGCGTATATTTATCGAGTCGACTGGAGTTTTATTTCACTTTCATTCCGAAGATGTTAGTATGAATTTTGCATGTTAGCATGAATTGTGCATGCCTAAA